TGATCAAAGTTATAATGAATAAACAAGAAAGTCAACAAGAAGATTTTAAAAATGTTCATGAGGTACCGTATATTTGTATTTATATTTATATTTGTGATTTTGTGTTTTAAGTAAAAAAAAAAAAATCTTTTTCTACTTTATTATCTAAAATAAAATGATTTACCATTCTTTTTTTATTACGTGTAATAGATTTTAAAAACTATTCCTCATAATAATAAAAATGAACATATAATTAGAATTGAAGAAATAATTCAAAACTTGGTCGAAAAATCGGATTTAGAAATCAGTGTACCACGTATCGATTCTGCGTTATTATTTGATCCTCCTATTGTAGGTGATTCGAAATTAAATTTCGAAAATGAACCTGATAGGAAACCAGTATACGATCTAGATGACGATATACAATCGAAACATAACGTAAAGAAGATTTATAAACGTGGTGTGGAAGTGTCATGTGAACCCATTACTATTATCGATCAAAACGTTTCAATTTTGAGTGAATTAAAAAGATTTGATGAAAGTAGAAATATCCTTAAATTTTATGGACTCTCGAAAGTTGATGATGATGATGTGTTGGTATTTGAGTGGGCAAGCTTGGGAAATTTAAAGTGTGTTTACGAAAAGAAGAAAATTCCTTGGGATTTAAAAGTAAAAATTGCACGAGATATTTGTCAAGGCTTATTATATTTAAGTCACGCTGACATTTTTCATCGTGATGTTCGATGTGAGAATATAATGGTAAATGTTATTTTTTAAATCTTTGTTTCAAAATTCTGTTAACTATAATCTTTATTAATTTATTAACGTTAATCTTTATTTGTCTATTTATCTATTTATCGTAGATGACTCATTATATGGAACCAAAGATCACTAATTTTTATCTTGCCAAACATGCGACAGAGATAGGACATGATAATGAAGATGGTAATATCTCGGATTATATCTTGAGAATTATTAATTGGTATGCGCCTGAAATGATGCAAAAGAATGCCATATATACACACGAATGTGAAGTTTTTAGGTATTTATTCAAAAGACCTTTCTCTTATTGTAGCAATTCCAGTTATTTCGATTATGGCAATGGTTATGTTAATAATTGTATACTTTGTTAATTTGCTAATTTGCTAATTTTTTAATTTGTTAATTTGTTAATTTGTATAGTTACGTAATGCTTTTATGGGAACTAGCTTTCCAAAGGGTTCCCTATGAAAAAATGAGTAAAGAAGAAATTGTTACTCATGTTACAAATGGTCGTAGAGAATCTCCTGATCCACCTTTTTATACATTGGAATTTCTTAACATTCAAAGTAAATACTTAAGAATCATTGCTGAAGGTATTGTTATCAATTATTATTTTATAAATTATTTTCTGTTCATGAATTATGTACTAATATTTATAAAATCTTTTACAAAATTAAAGGATGGGTTAATAAACCAGAAAAAAGAATTAGAATGGATGACATTCTATTGAGATTCTCTGATATTGAAGCTGACTTTACTAAACCTAAGAGAAATAATTCAGGTTCTGTTCATTCATCTGATCAACTCGACCAACGTTCACATATACGTACTAGGGCTGCTTCAGTTCCGGTTAAGCCTTACAAGCAGCCACATCAAATTTTATTAAGATCCAAAGAAAATGAATCCAGGCCCGATAAACATACAATTCCGGATTCTCCAGGATTCTCTAGGATTTTATATTCAAAAGAA